TAACTATAGAGTACTAAGAATGAACTTTTTCCATATATTTTGCCTAAAATTTCAATATTAATGAGCTTCCAATTTATTAATCATAGTGTTAAAACCCATAATGAAGCTAAGTTCCAACCTATATGCCATTGACATAGTCAATCTTACTTGTAACCAAATAACCAACGTGGGGCATAAGTGTATTTCCTTTGTCACATTTTTCTTCACGTGACCAGGGCCGACATCTGAGCTCAATGAACAAATTTTACAGAACTGAGATAGACCAAAGACAAATGAATATAATTTAAAGACGACAAAGAGCCAAGTCAAATCAAACTCTGATACAATGTTACCCAAAATAATTTTGTGGAGGATCGCATCTTAATTCTAAGCCATTCTAGAACATTATCAAGCAACAATTGATGTCTTTTTGTCTTTCTTCACAATTCACACTAGTAGTTCTTACAGAAGTTCTAGGGGATCAAAAATAAAAAAGAGCAGAATCTTATATCGTAGGAGTTGATCGTTCAACACCAAATAAAACAAATCCATTCGAAAAATTATCAAATTTAGCACTTGAATTCATTCCAATGGTGCAAAATACTGAATTTGATTGAGGGTGAATCCGACCAACCCCTCAAGGATCATCAAAATCACAAGCCATGTGCCTTGACATCCTCCTCTACTCTCCACCACATACATCTAAAATCACTCAGCAAAAACCTATCAAATGGAACAAATATCAATGTAGGAATTCCAATAATTTCCACACAAAAGCAACAAGTAGTATTCCAACACTTTACCCACCACTTGTAATTTCATTGTATGGACTGCAAAAACGAATGGACACTTATGCAAAGAGTCTTCATATTTACATAATTGTGCGTTGTTCAAATTTACCGAATTGGTCAATAAACTTCACAAGGATGCTTCTACAATTAATATAAAAGACATATGATATTTATTTAAATAAATGTAAATGTAATTTCCAATCGAGACATTTTGTTAAACACCTTGAAGGTGTCTTAGAAAATCAAAGGGAAAGAATGTACCATCTAATTCTGGAGCTAATCCAAAATTTAATAACATTTTTTTTATGCATTTATACGCAAACTCTATCATAAAGAAATTGATTATACCTTTGAGATGCAAAGATTGCTATGCTTCTTTATCAGTTTTTGGAGGGACCTCGGTTGGTGAATCGTTTCTTGCCTACAAATGCCCATTATTGGAGCTTCTGACTTCTTATCTTCATTTTTGAATGTGAGACAAAATAGTTTGTGGATACCAAGAATAATGTCATTGTTTGCTTAAATTTGAAGACCCCTATCCAAAATTAGTGATGACTTTCCATAAGATCAAGAAGGGTAATCTTTCCACAATTACTTGTAAGATTTCTTTCTCCAAAACCATACCCATCTCCTTGAGCTTGTAAATAACGTACACTGACTCACTGCCATATACCTAGAGGAAGGAAAAACAAATTAAAAAAGAAAAATGGAAAACTTAATGCAATTCTTTTCAAGAAATTACAATATATTCACCTTCTCAACAAATTCATAACACATTTGAGGTTTTCTCTCTACAAGAACATTGGAGTCGAGATCGAAGTCGGAGTTGGAGTCAGGAACGGAGGTTTTTCGAGAGTTATCTGATTCAGGGATTTCCCTTTCTGATTTGGGTTTTTGTCATGGGTTAAGGTTTTGAACGTAATTAATACGGTAATAGTAATTTTAATTAGTTTTAAGGGATTAATCAAATACTTAATTTTTATAGGGTACCGTACCTAATTTTCCCTTTTCAATTTTGAGTTTTCAGTTCATTTTCTATTTTTTGCTTTGAGGTTTTTTTTTTAAAAAAAAAAATTAAAAACATGTTTGGTTTATCATTTTGAAAATTTATTTTTCAAAACAAAAAACAAGAAAAAATGTTTGGTTTGAAATTTTGAAAAATTGTTTTAATACATTTTATTCAATTAAATTTGTTTATTTAGTAAAAAAAAAGAACAATTTTATGTATTAATATTATCAAGTATTATATACATTTAAAAATTGGTGAATCTTATAATATTTTTTCGCACTAAAAAATTAAAATAATAAATAATAAATTAATTTCAAAATTTAGGAAATAAAAATAAATACTGATGCATGTACTTAAAATATTTTTCTCCTTTTTCATTTAAATATTTTTAAAATTTTTTTATGTAAATAATCAATAAGAGTTGGAACTATTTTTATTTTTCCAGAACTTTTATGATCTTTATTTTTTCAGAATTTTAATTTTAATTTTTTAGAATTTTAGATTTTATTTTTAATTTTTTAGAATTTATAAATTTTATTTTTTTATAATTCTTAAAATTTATCGATTTTAGTTTTTGAATTTTAATTTTGTTTGTTAGAATTTTATATTTTTATAATTTTATTTAAATAAAATTTTAATTAAACACTTGTTATCCATGTTTTTAGTGTTTTTAGAATTTTCACTCGAAACGTAAAAAATGTGTTTTGAATTTTTTATTATAAATTTATCATTTTCAAAAATAACAAATCAAATACGTTTTTAATATTTTGCAAAACTGAAAATGACTTTCAAACAGAAAATCAAACGCGTTTTAAATCTTTAGATTGTCTTCAAAATTTCAAATAGCCTTCAGTCACAAGGGTTAAATAGGTTTGTATTACTTTTCTTAACAAAGTTGACATTTTAAAATGTAATTCGATTTTTAATATGGTATTAAAATTCATTAAACTCTTACGATCAGACTACTACTCAAACAAGCACACAAATATCAATATTAGTGCTTTCATCTTGCATCGATTAAACATCGAAATAAAAATCAATATGCAAAGGCTTGGACTCCTCCGAGACAGGGTTGACCTTATTAGATTTAATGTCAAGTCAATATATTTTTTTAAAGATCAAACCTCAAATCTTAACAAGTACATTACGCCATTATACTCGTGCATGAATCGACAAGATGGTCCATTTGACACTACTAAGTGAATAAGAATAAAAATCTTTTGATCGTCTTCAAATTTCTAAGAGTCTTTCTCAAAAGAATCGTGATAGGAAATCAAAGGATTTGAACTACTCCTCTTAACAGAATTGACTTTTTAAAATGAACATCAAGCCTTAATAAACGCCAATTGTACTAGTTGTGCTAGAATCGTACTGACCTAACCCGATCCAAGAGAGCCTATTTGACATCACTCACTAAGAAAAAAAATCTTTTGATCCCCCTCATATTTCCTAGGAGCCTCCATATTGAGTGTACTGTTTCTTTGAAAGCTTGTTCAGTGAGCATGTGGTCAAAATACCTTTTTCTGCTAGAGAGATGAATTACCATGACCAATTTGATTAGACAATTTACTTATGCGTAAAAAAATACTCAGTAAAATTAGTAATAATGATTGTGCATATCATTTTATATGAATCCACAAATATACAAACTGTAGAGTTGAAACAATGGTATGTGATGCTACAACCAAAATGAACGTATCAATTCTCTTTTACAAACCAGACTGATTCCATCAGAAGAAAAAACACAGATGCCCAAGTATACAACGCTTCCGAATTCTTAGTTTCAGCATAACAAAATTGCTCGAAATTCTCTATAATTCCACGGAATATATTGGTATTTACATAGGGCAGCCACAATCCACTCTTCTTCACATAGTCACACACTGCGTAGTAGACAAGTAACACACACCTTTATATTAATTACGCCAGATGTTGATGTGCACGTGTTACGCTCATCTTGTTCGACCAACATATCGTACTGTTTTGTGAGGGATCGACTTCTCAAACACATTAGTTTCAGCATTGGCTTGGGGTGAACTTCTGGGGCCGTCTTTTATTGTTTGAAGTTGTTCCAACTTTTCCAGGACCTCGGTCATGGCTGGCCTATGTTTAGGGTCCGTGTGGAGACACTGTAATGCAAGGGCAGCTGTAGCTTGTGCCTCCTTTTTAGAGTACTGACCTCCTAACCTTGAGTCCATAATTCTCAAGACTTTCCTACTATCGTTTAGGAACGGTTTTGCCCAGTCCACCAAGGTTTCATCAGCACCTCCCACATTCTCATCGCCTGCTGCACGTTTACCAGATAATAGCTCTAATAAAACGACTCCGAAGGTGTACACATCATTCTTTGGAGTCAAGTGGCCTGTTTGATCATTTTAGTTGAGCAAAATATAAGACTAAGCAGTACGCGAAAAAGTAACAAAAATGAGAAATTAAGTGAAAAAGTAACCTGTTGCAACATATTCCGGTGCAGCGTAACCCCTAGTACCCACAACTCTGGTTGATACATGAGTTCTATCTCCACGAGGACCCTCCCTTGCAAGGCCAAAGTCTGAAAGTTTTGCATTGAAGTCCTGCAAAAGTAAGATCAAAAGTGATTTATAACACCAAAGTGGATATTATAGGCTAAAGATTCAAAGTTCCAATGTTTTATCATACCGAATCAAGTAGTATATTGGATGCCTTCAGGTCGCGATAGATTACATTGGCGTCTAAACTATGCAAGAAGGACAATCCTCTCGCAACATCAACTGCAATATGCATCCTTGTAGGCCACGCCATAAGTTGCCCTCCTTCTGCACAAAAAGTCGTACCCATTACTCACACAATCTTTCTCCTCATGTTGTATCAACACATCTTAAAAATGCAAGTTCATGGGAATCCAAAATGTTAGTTATGGCCAAGTAGATGAATCCAATCACGTCATAAATTGATAACGAAAATAATGAACAACGGGTAGTTATACAAATGAAAAGCAATAATCCATAGAAGAAAATTCACTCACTTCTAAACAGATGATTTTCCAAGCTTCCTTTCGTCATGTACTCGTAGACTAAAAGCCGACTCTCAGATTCTGAGCAGTACCCAATTAGCTTCACAAGATTTTCATGATGCAGAAGACCTAAGTAATTTACTTCGGTCTGTCAATTGCAACAGATAAAACAAAGTCAAGTTGCAGTACTAGGCAAAGTATTCTGAGCATGTTTGGCTGTGATTTGCCACGTTAGAACTAAAGTTAAACTTACTTTGAATTACTTATTTTGTCAAATTTTAATTACAGGGTTATTTTTTTCCCAAACAAAACTTATTTTTCCTGAAAGTGATTCTTAACTTACTTTTCCACTTTTAAGCAAAGCCAAATATGCTCTCTAGTACAGCAAGAAAAAATAATAATTTGCTTACTAGCCATTCCCGGTGACCTTGAAAACTTTCGGCCTTAAGTTTTTTGACGGCAACTACCATCCCGGTTCCTGGTCTGGTCGGAGCCAATGTGTGCTCGTCTAACCATCCTTTAAAGACAAATCCAAAGCCTCCCTCCCCAAGAAGACTATCACTTCGGAAGTTCCTCGTGGCATTCTTGAGATCGTTGAACGTAAAGGATTTCAGGTTGCTGGAGACACCTTGTTTTGATGCCATAAGAGCTTTGCACAAGGACCCTGAAAATGTTGGCTGGTTTAAAGGATTTGAAAACTGTTCTGGATTAGGAGGTGCAGCTTTACCATCTGAAAAAATGAAATCCAAGTTAAGTCAATACAATATTTTTCTTTGAAATTCACACATCAAAAGTTGTAAACATCCAGCACGTATACTAGACACAACTCGACATTACAATACTCAAGATTAATTTAACTTATTTTTCATTTTAATATTGTCTAGTGTTATCCAATCCGAACTTACTAAACATTCGACCAATGTTTAACAAACTAGCATACGTTTCCAATTATCATGAAGTCAACCAAGAATTTGAACAGAAGTTGTAAATGCTCGTTCAAATTATTTATCTACACGAAACAGTGTTATGAGGGAGATTATTTGCTTCAATTGACAAAGTTTTCCTTTCTTCTGATGGACAAAATGCACAAATCAACACTTATCCCAAGAAACACATCAAAACTCTGTCCTTCGAATTACATAGTAACACAGAATCCTATGAAATTCATAACATAAAATAAATCCTTAAATTTACATTCAATAAGAAGAGGAAGCAAAAATCCTAATACTGATGCACTCCAACTTTATTCTTTTAGTACAAATCAGTACAAACTAAGCCTCGTTCCCAATAAATTAGAAAGTAAATTAATAAACGGAAACTTGGTTTAGGAATCATACCAGACAATTGGTCAGAAGAAGCATGAGCAAGCCTAGAAGATTTCCCCAAACAAATCCCCATATTTAAAATACTCCCTTAACTGTTGGCAAAAATAAAAGGTGGGCTGTGAAGAGGAAGAAGATATGAGTATAGGAATGCAAATTCAACAAGTAAAAAGCATTTTTGGGTGGTTTAAAAGAGTGGACAAGAGAGAAACAATCATCCATTTTAGGGTCTTCAGTCAAGGATTAAGAAACTCTTCATTGAAAATAATGACACAGAACCGCCTTCATTTCATATAATTGTTTGACATTTTCATGGTCCCAATCTGCTCCTGAATAAAAAATTATGATTGCCATTATTTGACTGCAATCTCCTTGGAGTAATCCCTTTTTTTTTTTTTTCAAAAAGTTTGACTAGTCTAAGAACAATGACGGAAAATATCCCTTCCTTCCCAATTCTCTTTCAATTTTGTCACACTTACACTGTAGTTATAGTTGACGACTTTCTGATGCATCACACGATTTTACCATTGATTTTATGACCTCGATTTTGACGTCTCAAAGAGTGTCAAACTAACTTAATTCATTATCTTCTGATCAATGTGTAAAATAAGTACTTATATACAAGTATAAATCTCACCGTCTAACCTAAAATTTTCTTTAATGTGTCGCTCTCCTGTTCTCAACCTTTTGGCATCCGTGTCGTGGTGTCAAATTGAAAGGGCAAAATTGTTAAAAGTAAGGAGTCTTTCTGCCGCGTTATTGGGGACCTCGTTTCGAAAAAAATACGTGTTTTTGAAAGTGAAATAAGATTTCCTCCGTATTTCTTTATTCCAAACAATCCAAACGGTAGCTTCGATTTTCGTTACGAAATTCACATAGGAAAAAAAAAAAACTTTTTCAGCTCGATTTTGTTCATATAAACGTAATGAAATCTCGAATAGTCAAGTCAAAATCCTATTAGAATAATCTATAATTGAGGTGGTCTTAGTGTATGACACATCAGCCCTTTCCTGGAAATTACTGAATTATTCATCGTCAAATTGAAGATAGTACATCTGTACCTTTTGTTGCGTGGAATAAAACTCCATCTAATCAATCTGAAAAATAGAAAATAAATATACTTTTCAAACTTCATTTAAAAACGTTGATTTATTATAATATTTATACTCTGCTTCAATTAAATTTTATTATAATCTTTACGACTATAATTTCTTTCAACTTTTATAAAACATTGACTAAAAATCAATTTTTTATTTAAACCATAAAGGTGCTAATATCACTATTCGACTAAGTCCCTGTTTGATAGATTTTTTTAATGATAGATTTTGTGAAAAATCTTCTTTTTTTTTAATTGTACAATAAACGGGACGAAAAATGAATTGCGAGGCAGCGAAAGAAGAGGGCCGCCCCCATCTAGTTTCCAGATCTAGAGCTTGTTTGGTAATACTAAAGATCCAATTAAAATTGAAAATATAGTCGTTATTGGGTCCCACCCGTCTAATAAAAATCAACAATAACGGCTAATTTTTCAATTTTAATCCGATTTTAATCTCTACCAAACACACTCCTAATTCAAATTCTAGTTCTCATATATATGCCCCTTTTTGTTGTAGATTAAAATCAGATTTTTAGTAGATTTTGATAAAAATTGATGAAATGTGTGATTGAAAAGTTGTGGACCTCATGAAATATGTGGTTGAAATTAATTATTGACTTTCACTTGAGATTAAAATCAGATTTTAATCAGAAAGAAACGAATTCAGCAATGAAACTCCAAAAATATTAATTAGCATAACTATCCTTTTTTCTATTAGAGATAAAGATTTGGTCAAATTGTCAGTAGTTTTAATGTATAAGCAACAAAATAAAAGTAATTTTTAAAGGCAAGTATGGTTAATTAATTTAAATATAATTTTTAAATGCCTTGACTTCACATAGTTGAATCCATTATTGGGAATATTCTAATTTTTATTATATAATATAGTCTCGATTTAAAAAATAAGTTATCTATAAAATTTATTATTCGTCCTCTGAATTTAACTATTCACGAAATACATTTCTATTTACCAAATTGTTATTACAACTCTGTATCGAACGCAAAAAGAATTATTGATTTCAACCTCCTTTTTTTGACCCAAATAGTACCAAATATTCAACGAAGTACAACTTAAAATTACGTCTTAACCTCTATTTATCATGGAAAAATAGTAATTTCTTGAAAGAAAAATACCACTTTTCTTGTTTTTTCCTCCAAATAGTCTTCTATTCAAAGAAATCAAAATGTGAATGTGGTTATTTAGTATTTAAAGAACTTTAGAAAAGTCTTGGACTCACTCACTCCATAATTACCATCATAACGTATAACCCCACGTTTGTTAACTTGTCAGCCTTCGCTTCTATAAAGTTGATTTGACATGTTTTGTACAGTATTAGAGTGCAATTAACGTGATTTTTAAAAAGTTAAAAGTTACTTCTAAAATTAAAAAATTACTTTCTTAAACATAATTGAATGACTTTCTAGAAGTATTTTATCGATCTAGAAGAGCTTTTAAAAAACTGACTCGAGATGTTCCCGAGAAGAAAGAGCTCTGATCGATTAGAGAGATTTCAATCACTGAACTTGCTTATGCGTAAAAATGATGTCAAACGAACTCCAGACGATATTGTATATGTAAAAACCAATCCATTTTGCAGCATCAAAGTTTCCAATGCTAAGCCTCTTTGTGGGAACATCAATCATTTACACAATTGATTCTAGTGTCAATGTTGTCAACTTCAATACTCATGCATGCCTAACAGAATTTTACAATGAGTTTTCTACATAATAATGGCAAAATTCGACGTACCAAAAAATGCAATAAAAGTAAAATGCGTATCTAATTATGTACTTCTAGCTCACTTATTGCATTAAAAGTTTAAAGTTTTTACTTTTAAGCACTTAAATTAAGCATTCGACAAGATTAGACTAAATAACTGACGAATGCTATTATAGTTTTTCTTCATCATATCATATTCAATCTCGTCAGTCCAATATACCGAACATGTCATTTCTCGTCATATCATGCTACAATTCGAAGCGCATAAACATCCAGACATCTAAACTATTTCCAGGCATTTAAAAAGATTTAGCAAAGCCCAAACTTCCTTTCTATTATCCAGTCTTCAACATTACACAAACTCAAGATCTTCTCTTCCAAGATTAGCAATACAATCAGGTCGAAAAAAATAAGAAATCAGATCAAGGCCACTAAAAAATGCCTAGAGAATGACGCTGATGGGAGAAAAATAAGTGAGTCGAAGGAACAATCAAGCAAATTCGACATATATTGCCGACTAAACACCAATAGAAACCAGATACACAAGGACATCGATATAATTACATTTTTCTAGAGTAAAATTAGGTTGGTGTATTAAGTTCCTGTTGCAGCTCTATTGTCTGGCCCGGCAAGCATAATCTGGAAAAATTAGAGATTATTTTAATTTCCATTTATTTTTTATTACTGGAACACACATTATAAGCGAAGAACAGAAGCAACAAAGATTGTGACACTTACATTACAGTCAAATGCAAATCTTCTTGCCAGCATAATAGCTGCATTTCTTTCTCTCTCTGATTCAAATGCTAAGACGAAGGAATGCCCGACTTTTGCTTGCCAATATACTGCCTGAGCTGCAGCGTTCCCACCACCTCGAACTCCACAAATCTGAGGGTGGAAAAACAATATCATAATCGGTTGTTTTAGTCCAGTTTACGGGTGAAAAAAAGGAAGCTGAACATGTAGCAAATGTCCTGACTACAAGAATGCAGCAGTTTCAGAATAAACAACACTTCAATCTTGTCATAACTTAGGTAAGAAAAAAATTTCAACTTCTTGTTATATTTCTCTGACAATTCGATTCACTCCATACAACATTTCTCGTGCTTCTGGGTACAAAACTAAAGACTCCTATTTATACTTTTTGTACGAGAATTCTACATGAATCCTGTATTTTTATGTAACGTGTATAGATGTTCATGAATCTTCTTCAAGATTCACTTTCACAAGTCGGAGATTAATTTCAAACAAAAATTAGTAATGACAGTAAATAAAGAAAAACATCGTGACCAACTATAACATAAAAATAAGGAAGTAAGGGTATGGATCTCTGTGGATTAACATTTGAAATGACCCTCGACAGAGTCAGCGAGGGCACCATATAGTACACAATAAAGCTTATTGAGATGAATTCGATACCTGCATTGAATTGGAATAGTATTCTTTAGCCACTGTTGTCTGTCCTTTGCAAAGTTTCATTCGCATCTTCCCCACATGCAGTACATGGATAGACTGCGACTGATTATCTACCCCGTTAATCTGGATAATAACTACCTGAATGGACAAGGATTTCAATGTCATTGTGATAAATTGAATGGCTGATTACTTCATGGTAGACACAATACGGACATGTTTGGTACAGTGCTGGAAATGACGGTATCTCTAAATGGACAAGATTCTAGATTCTTTTCTTTTTCAATATGTCAGGTACAATCCATCCACCGGATCAAACATGTCATATATGAACACAAGTTCGCAGACAAGCTATTGTCGATACAATAGAATATTTACATTGAATTCAGTGTCATGCCTTCGCACCAATGCTTCTACATAGTTCCCTAATCCAGCCGCTGTTCAGGAAAATGGAATCAGTAGTGTACGCAAACAAATAATTCTGTAATTTTACGGAAATTTAAGTCAACAGACCCGGATCGATTGGAGAAGTGGTTCTCACTGTTATTGTTTGACCATCCGTCATAATAACAGCTTCTAGAAATCGGCCAACATCGAAAGGCTCTGGAGCATAAACAGATTTTGTGGCCCCTGACATTGTAACAAGCTTTTAATGTTAGAACAAAAATGTTACTACTCCAAAATAATGTTCTAATTAAAATAAATAATGTTTTCTCGTGCAAGTAAATGGAACAAAATGACTTCAACCACCAAACATGCAGAGTCCATCATAGCTACTGAAACACCAATGTTCATGAAGAAATGGACAAAACGTAAAAGGAAATTACAACAGAAACAGCAAAAATAA